CTGTAATAATTTTGCACTATAGTTTTACATTGATTTAGGATTTATTGAGATTCACTTTAGATGTTAGGAAAAAACGGTATTAACTTCGATTATTTTGCCACCGAGATGATGAGGCAAATTTCATTGAGGGTGATGAGTCCCTTAGTTGGATTGTTTTTAACTTTTTAAATATCTATAAATTATCATGAAATACACTAACAGTTACAACTTGGTATAGCAAATTTGATTTAGGGGTAGTTTACCGCATACTTACTCGGGTAAGCACTTAGTAAGTCATATAACCTTACTGAATGAATATGATAAAAACCAAAAATCTTACCCGATAAGAACGAGATAAAGACCATGAGTTTTACCCGGTAAGTGAGAGCGACGACTCTTACCATGGTAAACGTTTACCGGGTAAATTGTTGCATACGATGTCGTTTAGGTGGACTAAAATCTTACTCGATAAGTAAATAATAATGTTAAATTTTATCGATAAACACTTACTGGATAAATGTTTAATAAACTACCCCTTAGTTTAATGATTATTTCTAATTATTAAAAGCCATGTATTATAAGTGACTTTTGACCGAAAGTTTGATTCTACTTATGATACTAACAAGTAACAGCCGTAACTTTTTATGTCTTGAAGGTTGTTCCTAAATACAATTAAAAATAGTTTATCAATCATAAACTCATATTCTAATAAAACTATCACTAACTCAAGCTTTATTTTGGGGTCATTTACACAGTTATCGAATAAACGTTTATCGAGTGTAACTTATTTTATCATGTGAATATGGTAAGGATCGAGAATTTTACCTAATAAGAAGTATAATAATAAACACAAAATCTTACCTGATAAGTGAAGGAGAAGGCTCTTACCCATTTAACGCTTACTGTGTAAGAAACACTTGCCAACAATCTACTTTGATAGCCAAGATTTTTAACCAATAAGCCAAGTGAAGATTGTAACTCTTGTCGATAAACGCTTATCTGATAAGCGTTTGGTAAATGACCCATTATTCTTAATTAGATCAATTAATATTAATAACTAATTTAGAACAAGATAACAATGAAAAAATCGACCAAAGGAGAATTCTCTTTAGCAACCAGCATGTGAGAACCATAAATGAATTATGATCAGTTTTACTATTTTATTTTTGGCAAAATACAAAGAAATAAACATATTTTTATAATTTCATTTTTAAATACCGTTTCAAGAAATACATTTAAGATTTTATTTTAACATTAGTATATGTAAACGATAGACTTAGAGAGCCATTATCAAAAAAATGTTAGAAAAACGCTGATTAGATGTCATTTATTTTACTGGTTGAATATGAAAAGACTAGATAATCTTATCCAATAAAAGACATAACAAAGATAAATTTTTTGGTGTGTGGGTATGATTGATTTGATAAATAAGCCTCTTTTAAATTGGGTAACACAAAAAGGTAAAGGCACATATGTGGGTATGATTCATTTTCATTGGAAAAGGTTGACAATGTCTAGTTCCAAAGGAACAATATCTTGGATTCTTGCACAAAACTCACTTTTACCATATTACCCTTTCAATCTCACTCTCATCTCAAGGCCTTTTTGTGTAGTTCACTTGAGGCTACGCATGAGAGTTAACAAGAAAAACAAACAATCTGAACTCCTACATCCCTTATTTTAATCCTCTCAATAAAGTTATAAAGTTAAATATACTAAAATAAATGTTTATGAAATGTAAAATATATGAGGGGTAATTTGGTAATTTGTGAAATCAACGACAGAAGAAAATTAGTGTCCTGTGCAACGGATTTTTTTTTTGCTTATTGTAATTTCCATATAGGGGCAATTTGATAATTTTGAGAAATCAGTAACGGAGGAAAACATTGTCCGTTACGAAAGAATTTTGCATTTTTGTTTTGTACAATGTGTCATTTGGTAATTTTGTACAACCTTAGGTAAAAACATATAGAAGAAGACAAAACAAAATTTATGACGAAACAGTGTCTACAATCAGAAAGAATCTCAGTGTGCAAGTGGTTTGTGGTCCATCGATTGAGTTTGAAATCACATATCAATTAAAACAATGGATTAGCTGTAATCTAAGATGATGAGAAAGTGATCTGACTATTACTAAATGCAATTGTATTTATTTGGAATAGACAAAATAATTTGTATGCAAGTATCATATATTATGGAATTTGATCTAAATAATCAGCATCTGGAGCCTTGTATTTGACCCTTCATTTCCATAAAATCAGTATAATATCAAAATGAAGAAACAACACTCTAGTTCCTCTCGACAATATGTTTCTATGTTTTAATCATCTGTAATGCCTATTTCTCTCTTTGCTCCCAGTTCATAGTTAATAGCATGTCTTGCGACCCCTGTTGGGGGCCAATGCCAAAGAAAGTGCAACCTTATTCTATGTCGTCAAATAGGAGATATGGGGATGTAAAAAAAAAGGCTATTTCTAATCATCTTAGTCGTTTAAAAGACATCGTATCTATTCGAATGATTAAACTTTGGAGAAAGTCGTGTTTAACATGTCTCAAATGCGTCTTGCATCTAGTTATTTCCAAATATTATTACTGGTTTATTTTTAGTTTTACAATAATTTTATTGCCATGCTCATTTTTATGTACAAATATACATAACCACCATTTTAACATGAATTTTCATTTTTGTGTTCAATTCTTCATTTAGGTGCATGATGTTGATTTCCAAGCACAAGCACATGGTGATTGGGATGTCTCCTAGTTCTTGATACATGAACATGTAATCACTTCCTACTCCCTAGACAATACACCATTTACCCATGCCAATTCACATATTATATATATATATATATATATATATATATATATATATATATATA